GTTTATTTACTTATAATTAGGTACCTACTTACTTTTTATTGAGAGCATCTTATCAAAGATCTTGTGTTTTCCAGTTACATACAAAAAATTAAGTATTAATTGAAACATCGATGATATAGAACTTCCATTATTTTTGTGATTAAATTCCAGAGACGCAAAGGGTGAAAAATAGTAGTTGAGACATTACAAAGGTTATCCTCAAAGTCCGTTATCCATCCGAGCGAAGCCGTTGGGGTCAGCTAGTAAAGTAATAAGACTTTTAAACTACTAGAACCGTTACACTAATGAGATTATTAATTAATAAAAATATATATATAATTACATAATATATAATTATGTATAATGATAAAAATTCTTTGCAAATAGCCCGATAACCTGAAACTGGTATCTAACTAATTAATCAGAATCGCAATTAGCGTCCCTTAAATTGTTAATTAGAGTGGCTACAATACGTCCGCCGTCAAATGATCGACGCGCCCGTTTTAGTGTTGCCACTGAACTAATTACTAATCACTGCGCAAATACATGCATGTCCGTCTGTCCAGCCACTTCGCTGTGTTGGAAAACGTTTAATTAAATGGCAACATTATTGCTTGCGTTTTGTTTGTTTGTGGGCTTGTAATTATGTATGTAGAAATGTAAAAAGTTTATTGCTATTTGAGATTGTCTTATAACTGTAATTATTTTGTTATAGTCATTGCAGTGTTTTGATTGGCTTGTTGGTTGATGCTCGCTAGTCATCACTTCGTTTCGATTAATGAACAGAGTTCGTTGTTTGGGTTTTTCTAGGTTTTTTATCTTGTTACTATTTATTTTATTGTTAGTAGGTATAATGTGAGATCCTGCCCTGTGTTATATAAAAAGGTATTTATTTGTTGTCGCTGGTATGCAAGCCTATTATTACAACAGTTTAAACGCGAAAATAAATAGCATTGTAACAAAAATATTTGCCAATAACAATATTTTTATAAACAAGTTACTTTTACCAGTCGTGACCAGTGGCTCAGTGATGTAACTCAGTAACAGTCATAATACCGGGTTGTAACACTCGCTGTTACACAAAAACCTCGGGTCAAGTTCATTGTAGTTACGCACTGAGTTGAACGCAAGAGTCACTGAGTTCCGTTATGAGATCCTACTTGTGTTTTTGATTTTTTATGTCAAATATGGTGAAATAAAAAGGTTGTTTTGGTGTTTGATTGCTGTTTTTAGTGAGATTCGATATTTATATATTTTTTTTAAAAAACGTCCCACTCTAGCGTCGTCTACTGTGTCGTGGGTGCGTTTACAAACATACAAGTTCACATACACATGACACTCAGACTCGAAACAACAATATATGGATTACACAAGAAGTTGCTTTGTGGCGGCCAGGTTCCAATTTAATCATGTAAAAAATTAACAAGATATTAGGAGATTTCCTCATGACTGACTAATTTGATTTAACAGTGGAACTTTAAATAAAGTATCGATTCACGATGACGATCATTTCGTCATCCCTTATTGACTTACTTCCTGTTAATATGCATTTAGGTGAATATTGTAATAATCCTTAAAACCAGAGGAACTTACTCGCGTTCAGAGGCTCATATTGAGAGATTCATAAATGTTAGCCTCTAGCATGGCTTGAAACTAGTCGAGTTCCTCGTCAAATAATTACGCGAGTAAGCCGAAAACACAATAATGTTTTAGTATGTTTTATTGGACGAAATCAAACGACTACTCTCATTTGGCTTTTTTTTTTAAGGGGGGAAAATCATCGAATGACTGCTCCCGCCTGGGTGAGGCGGGAGGGAGTGTCAGACTCTTACTGACTAAAAACCACCCCGTTCCTTCTCCTGCACGTCGAGCCGGAGCCCCGGTTACCCGTTAGGTTCTCCGCGACTCCGAATCGGCATCGGCCCTATTGGGCCCCATCTGTGGTGGTCTGATGGCTCTTTGAGGCGCGCGCGGAACGCGACGCGCCGTACGCTCGGGTCTGTTTCTGGTCGGACGGGGAGCCACCCATGCTCGCCGTCCGCAGGCCCGCGCTTACGGTGGCCGGAGATCGTCCCGCGATCCCCGACGCCCGGTGTGTCCTTCGCGATGGCTGGGTTGCGAGGAGGCAGCGCTTCGCTGCCTCACGCGTCCCGCCTCCTCCTTAGCTAGCATGACTGCTTCGCAAAAGGAGGAGACGGCATCCCAATCCCCCTCGCTCCGCATCATGGCCTGCACTAGGCCCGGACGCGAGAGGTCGCCATCGCCGATCACTTCCCTGAGGACACGGCGGTGCTCAGCCCACGAAGGGCATTCTCCCACCGTGTGTTCCACCGTGTCCTCAGGGCGGTCCTCGCAGTGATGACACCCGGGCGTTTCCTCCCGCCCCATCAGACACAGGTACCTCCCGAAACTTCCATGTCCGGTGAGGACCTGCGTCAGGCGGTAGGTGAGGACGCCGTAGCGTCTCTCAAGCCACTCCTCAAAGAGGGGACTTACCGCTGCGATGGCAGCGAGCCCAGCCCTCGGTTGCGACAGTCGTTGCTGCCATTCCGCCATGAGATCGCGCCGGAGCTCATCCCGCCACGCACTTATCTGGCGCGGCAGCGGAGTTTCGCCCCGGCGACGTGCCTCCGCGCGCATGCTGTGCACGCGCGCGAGCACCTTCGCCTCCAGATCCCACGGCGGTAATCCGGCAAGGAGGTTCGCCGACTCCCCAGAGATCGTGCGGTATCCGCGGATCATTCGGATCGCCATGACCCTCTGTGCCATGAGCAGCGTCCGAGCGGGACGCCGCAACAGGTTAGGCGCCCAAACAGGGGCGCCGTAGAGGGCCATGGACCGCACGACCCCGGCGTATAACCTCCGGCAGGAGGCGTTTGGCCCCCCGAGGTTGGGGAGGATGCGTTTAAACGCAGCCCCCGTCCTCTCCAACTTTGGAGCCAAACGTCGGAAGTGCTCAATGAAGTTCCACCGACTGTCGAGGACGAGTCCTAGGTACTCTCATTTGGCTACTAAGTACATAATACACACTACACACTTGAGATTGAGGATTTGAAAAAACTTAGAACGCCTTTTAGCATGCTATTTTAAAACATATGTACCAGTAACGTGAATTTGTTTAGTTTTAACTTTTAAATGTGATGCCATCTCTGTGATTTTAATTATGTTTTCAAATCGATCCAAGGCACCGAATTACTTCTATCATCTTCATGAAACTGGTCTTTGATGATTGATTCTATTATGTAACACAACTTAAATTAGCTAGAGGATTTGGTACAGTCAGCTATGCTCTAATTAATATAATAATACACTGATTATTAATACGAAGCGTACTGGTTATTAGCCATATTACCTAGATAAACCAATATCACGTCGCAGGATCTATTGGAAATTGTATGAATAGGATGTACACAGGCATGTTTTTATATGGGAACAAATTCGTTTATTAATAATGTCGACTATACAAAGCTTTGTACTGAAATGTTCACTTTTAGAAACATGTTTAGTAGGTGATCCGAATAAATTCTCCATTTGTATATTCAATAATTAATAAGTAACACAATTGTAATTGTTACGTCTATTTTAATTTCGGCTGCACGGTTGGGCGGTGGCTGAACAACAGCTTGTTGTACGAAGTGTCGCGGGTTGGATTCCCACACGGAATAACACTGTGTGATCCACAAATTGTTGTTCCGGGTCTGGATGTCATGTGTTTGAGAATCTGTATGTTTGTAAACGCGCCCACGGCACAGAAGGAAAAGCTAGAGCGGGGAAACATAACCTAACATACCATCACGCCTTTTACCCCCGAAGGGGTAGGCAGAGGTGCATATTATGCCACTGTACGATGTAACACCCACTGTTTACTATTTATGTTATGAGGCCCATGTAATAGAAGGTGAGCCTTTTGCCATATACCAGGCACAATTCCAGATTCCGTGTTACTACTGAGATTTTTTAAAAACCCAATAATACTTTGCCCGACCCGGGAATCGAACCAAAGACCCCTTGCCCGGCAGTCGCACTTGCGACCATTTGGCCAACGAGAATAATTATATTGGATGCATATTTGAAAACAATTTAATTACTTAGTAAGACTATAGTAGTATCCCATTAGTCTAGTGATTAGCTCATTGGATTGACTGGTACAGTGATCTATTAAGTAAAGTATTTAAGGGATTTCCTGATTGGAGCAGTAAAGTACTATTTGGAAATTTGCCCGGTGAAAAGATTGGTCTGTAATGTACGAGACTCATAACTAACTGGTAAAAATTGGTGAAGATTAGATCGAAGTAAAACACTACATTTTTCAGTCATTAACACCTTGAACGCCATGGGGGCCAAGGTATGGGCCACGGTAGCGAAGGATTTACCGTCAACAGTTCTCTGTCGGCAGTCAAAGGCTTAAAACATAGTCAGGTCATCCTTAATGGAACACTTATGTTCAACATATTTATGTTATGAGTTCCAAGTAGTAGGGGGTGACAGGCAATAAAACATTGGTAAAGTCGACATAACGATGTACCCACATCATATGTTTTAAACCCAATTCAAAAAAAAGAACTCCTTCTTTTTTTAAGTTTGCTTAAATCAAATTTCTCAGTTTGATCTGTATGTTTGTACATATATATGTATGTATGTATGTATGTATGTGCGCAATTACCTCGCGATTGGCTGAACCGATTTTGACGCGGTTTGCAAAAAAGTGTTTGTTACACATATGATAAGGTTTTAGTATAACCGGTTTCAAAAAAAGTTTGTAATTCTTATATTAATCTGCAACACGTGTGTAAGTTCTTAATAATAATATAAAAACATAGAGACACCTATATTTATACTTCCATAATTCAAAATATAGATTGGGATGCAATAAATTACACCAAATTTAATATTTATAATCGGTATCGAAACGGATGTAGCTTGTGCATTAGGTAAGTCGTGCATGTTTGCTGTTTAATGCAAAAATAATATGATTTATTTTTAATACTCAGTACTGATTTATTAGACACTTATTTACCAACCAAGGTCAATTTGTTGTAAGTTTGACTACTGAATGTGATATCCTGTGTTGGATTTACTGGTTTAACATTGTGCTATTATAGATAGGTACCTACCTACTGAGGTACTTGATTGTATTATAATCCCATTGAATTTATACTCCCATGATAATTTTATGAGTCGCTATGTATCGGCAAGCGATCGAAAATTTTACCTGTTAAAAATAAACATATATCTTTTGAACCTTATTAAAAATATGTCAGGTTTTTGACCTAGATGCTACCTGTGCTCAACCTATATTTATTTTTTGTTAAATATAAAATGAAATTAAACCTATACATATAAGTTCAGTCGTTGAAAGAATCCGGCAGTTGGGACTCGAGGTGGCGCTCCACAAGTCCGAGGCCATGTGTTTTCATGGCCGCGGGAACGCGACACCTCCAGGTGAGTCCCAAATAACGGCGGGAGGGGTTGCCGAAGCACTGCCACCTCGCAATCCAACCATCCAGCCACCGTAAGCTCGGGCCTGCGGTCGGCGAGCATGGGTGGCTCTCCGTCCGACCAGAAACAGACCCGAACGTACGGCGCGTCGCAGTTCGCACGCGACGGAGTGAGTGAGTGAGTGAGTATGGAGTCGTGGAGAACCTAACGGGTAACCGGGGCTCCGGCTCGACGTGCAGGAGAAGGAACGGGGTGGTTTTTAGTCAGTAAGAATCTGACACTCACTCCCACCTCACCCAGACGGGAGCAGTCATTCGATGATTACCCCCTTAAAAAATACATATAAGTTTTTAACTAACAGATTGTGATAGGAGAAATAAAAACAAATCTAGACATCAACTCGTTAATAAAAATGATATGTGTTGCACAGAACTCAATTAATATTTATAAAATACATGATATATTTATAATTCGTGGAATATTTCAATGGATACCTCAATGTTAGCAGACATTTTTTTTGTATTTGTGTAAGGATTTGCAATATATTTTCGTCTACTATACCTCTATAATGTAAAGGTCCCTTGTCTTTCATCATCGCTACAGGTAACTAATGGAGTCGCTCTAGTAGAAAATTGGAATATTCATAAAAGAATTGGATCAAATTTTTCATCCCCATGTTATACTCGTACTTTGAGACAAGTTAAATATTACTTTATAGAGAGCTTGTTATTGGTTTAATTGGTTAGTCTTTGATACAAACAAAATAATCATAAAACAATAATGATACAAACAAAGAATTCGATGGATCACACAAATATTTTTACAGTTTAAAAATATTTTATCTAAATAGCAATGAAGGTCAAGTTAAGTAACTAAAATATTCAGTACAATTGGATAAATTTAAGATAAAGATTTTAGAACAAATATACAATTATAAATTCTATTCGTTAATTGTCTGCTAATATTGAATGACGTCTTTATTTTTTTGTCAATTCGATATAATGACGAATCAATTTTTGTTCAAACATTCACGATATTCAATATTTAAAAAGATGCAAATAGTTTATAAGTATGAACAGTTGGTTCAAATGTAAACATTGATTTGATTTTTTAATATAACTTCACTATACCAGTCAAACAAAAATGACAAAGCATCAAGACAAGATTTTCAAGTTGGTAAGATGAGTTTATGCCCAATACTGAAAGGCTACTCAATTTTAATGATTACTTTATATCGTGACATCTCTTTCATTTTAAAATAATGTATAGTGACAGAATTATACTTAAAACTTTTAACGACATCAGGTAGCAAGAATGATATAGAAATCTTTTGTACAAGCCTGAGGAAAGCTAGAACTATGATAAGTGGTGACTTTTTTAATAGCTGATTTTTTTTATTTGAAATATGTATTCACCTTTTTCTGCTTTCTTTAAATAATTTTCTTTATGTATGCCTGTTTTTGATATATTATATCTAATTTTAATTTTGTCTTAGCTGTTACCTATTAAGTCAGTATTCGTGCGAATCTGTAAGTGGCTGTTGATTCATCATTTAATAAATAAATAAATTAATAAAAATGATATTTGTTAAGCTTTGACTGCCAAATGAAATCTGTTGAAGGCAACTCCTCCGCTAACGTCGGTCACCGGTGACCCCCATGGCGTTTACCGTGTTTAGCGTGAATTCACGTGTTAAAATTTTAGTAGCATTGTAATTATTTATTTACTGAGTGCATTTACAATTTAGAAAGCTGTAAGACATGTGGTTTCCTTGGGGCCAGTAGGTAAGCTGTAAGAGGATTCACCAAAATACCACTCCTAAACCTTTTACACGCGTACGAAACCACTTTACAAAGTTACTTAGTACTTTTTTTTTTTTTTTTAATTAATAAAAAATTGAATTTCTCCACGGACTCGTGTCCGTGCCCTTGTCATATTACAAGTACATACTTTCTATGGTCAAATATTTTTTTTTTTATAAAGATCTTACATGCTACGCCTACCACTGTACTACACACAATACTTTATGTTGTTGCCTAATTATTACAGTCTTATTATCTTAGACTAACCCTACTGAATCAGCCCACCAGCACGATGAGCGAGCCGACCTGTTCCAGCAGAAGGCACCCGTTCACGGGTATGACGTGTAGGCCAGCAATCGGTCCGATCAACCATTTCGTAGGGAACGGAACGACCCAGCCCACAGCGCCACCGACTGTAGAACATTTACGAATGCATGACGTCCCCGCCCACGCGGCAGTAAGCTAATTGCAGTAGTGCTAGTGGTTTTTATTAGTCTTATTAATAAACTTATATTACTTTACATTAATTACATTTTTAATAAATACAATTTTTTTTTTGCGAACACACCAAAACATGTATACAACAACTCTAATCCATGATGTTTTTTTTTTTTTTTTTTTTTATATATCTGGACCTTTTCAGCAGTTGTGCGGCTTTACGAACCGTCCCCACCCAGAAGAGCGCTCACGACCAGCGCATCTCTATTTTTTATTGCCATTTTTAGGTTATAATCCAGGATTCCCTGCTCACCCTCACCCAGCGCCCGTCTGATTATTTTGCTGATTGCGTCATCATTTATGTCCGTGTAGTAGACACAACTGTCAGTGTGACGCGATATAGCTACCACGGCGTGAGGTACACTGTCGTGTATCCGCTGTTTCCTGTCCGTTGTGTTCACAATCACCACTGCCGCATACGACAGCCCCTGGGCCTCGTGTATTGTGAGTACTCGTGACCCCATACCCGATCCGTATCCCTGGTTTTTGAGGGATTCCTTTTCTACCTGAGTGTGTACCAGGTATAACGTGTTCGGGGGAGACTTCGGGATCCGCGCCCTTGAAAAACTTTTTAACTCAAGGGATCTCACTCTTGATTTAGACGAGTATATGCCACAATACACAATACCAAGAGCATATGCCACATCCATTGGGTTTCTGTGAGTGCAGAGAAGTTCCCGGGTCACGGCCACGATGTGTGCAGGGCGGGTGTATACGAGGGGGAAGAGGTTGTCGCGGTCAATAAAGGGAAGTTGATTCACGTCACCAATAAGTAGGACTTCTTTGGCCTGAGTTATTCGTGCAGCCATCACAATGGCCCCAAAGTGATTCATGAGAGCCTCATCTACCATGATTCGGTGGCAGCTCTCTTGTTCTTTTACTCCATTCACTAAAATGGACGCCATTGTTCGGACCTTAGATTTGACTAATCCCCCGATTCGGCAGGACAGTTTGCCTCTGAGGTCATTTGCCGCTTCTGTTGTTGTGGTGACAATTAAATCCCTTTCCGCTTCGAATTGGTTCATTATCCAAGTAGTTTTGCCGCATCCCGGTACACCGTTCGTCCAATGAAACATCGGAGTATCCCAGTCCCTAAAGACTACTCCGTCCGGCCCAGTTCCTGAGATGGATTTTGCCATTTCCAAGATCCCATCATCCAGCATAATCCTGGTACACCTGGCAACCACCACTAAGGAATCTTCGGGGGGTGTTTTAAATTTCACAACTCCGTGTTTTTCTGTCTCTTTCTCATCCAGAGACACAAATCCTGCGGTGGCGTTATAAGCTGCCATACTACGACTTATTGACGCACCTCTCAATACTTTCGATGTACTGTTGTCGTATATGACTGCTTCCGCAGCCTCGAGCCTGTCATCCAGTATCAGCTCGTTGCCCTGCAGGTAAGTCTGCAGGATCGCTTTGCACGTTCGCAAGTTGACTTGCTTTGTAGCTTCTATTACTGCGACAAACTCGAGGAAAGCGTTTATGAGATGGTCTCTGGGAGTATCTGCATGGCGGAGTTTCGGCGGACAGACGTGACCCATGGCGGCTCTTGTTGGCGATGACTTGGGTTGATTAGGTTGTACTTGAGCGACATGCCCTCCCCCGTGCGTGGATCCGGTCATACTTCTTCTGAAGGGTGAAGAAACGAGACCCACAGCTGTACATATAGCTGATGTTATTGCCCACATGCTGCTTCGTGAATCTCGTTCCCTATTTTGCCTTTCGATGTTGAGTTCATGTTTTTGCAGAGCGCTTTGTTCAGAATATTTTTGTTGTAAGCGCTCTGAGCCGCTTGGAGAGCCGACACTTGGAGGACCCTGGACCGTTTTTCTAAGGAAACTAAGGTCTTGACCTCTGTCCTCATAAACGATGACTTCATGATGTTCTGAAGCTTCAACACAGCCCATGAGATCCGCTGTTTTTCCTTTCTGGGAAGCCACCACTGCGGCATCCACGCTAATTATTCTGGATGTTACGCCATCCACTTCTCCCCACCTACCTATACCGGACAGCACCTTGCATGCTTGTTGAAAACAGGTCATTGAGTCAACGCCGGGAAACATTGCAATAGTTTTATTGCGCGTTCGCAACAGTCGACAGGTTTGACCCATCAGTTTAATTTCTGGAAGCGCTTCATATTGTTTGCGTCTCATGCTTGTTTTAAAGGTGCTGCCATTCAACAGGGAGGCAAGGCCCGGTGATATTTTGAGCCATTTCTGATTTGAGGTATTGCAGAAGGCGATCCCCAGTCTCTCGCTGCCGGTGCTCATGAACAAAGCCACTCCTCGGATTCGTATACCTTTCGTACCATGCTCTCCTTGTAAGAGGATTTGCTGTTCGTTAATAGTGAGCGGATCAGCTATTGTTGTACGCGGAGTCTCGGACGCCACCATGGCGGAATTATATCGACTCTCCAAGCTGGTTACTGTTTGGCTCCTTTTATTAAGTGTGCTGTTTCTTTCAGCCGCCCTGCAAAAAATGGCATCCATGTAACCCAGGAAGTGCGGTCTTTTAGATTTGTCAGCTAGTATAGAACTCAGTTCAGAGTGGACCAGGTTTGCATCAATTTGATGTTCTAGGTTGGTTCTGGCGGCCAGAAAACGAGGACAGTCGAGAATGATGTGCCATACAGACTCACTGATAGTTGGATCGCATTCGCAACCCGCACTTTCTTTTAGCTTGAACCGATGCAGGTACTCAGCGATCCCTCCATGTCCCGTCAACGCCTGAACTTGGGCAGGTGTCAACTTGGTCGATCTCACTAATCGATATGCCTCCTTGACATCCGGGAGAAAAGCTTTAGTTACCTGCCCAGTAGTGGAGGTTGTATATCTGTCCTGCCACTTCCGGATGGTTTCTTCCCTGATTTTCTTTTTGACATAGGACATGGGTACTCTAGTGTAGTCTGCTGTGGTGTTATCTTTTGTTTTGGCAGCGGCTTTAGCCAATTCGTCTGCTCTCTCGTTTCCGACCGTTCCAACATGGGCCCTCAACCAGTAAAATCGAATCTCTCTCCCCTGCTCCCTGATGTTTCCAATACATTGTTTTATTTCTTTAGCTAACTGATGGCTCACTTTGGGGTTTTTCAAGACGTCGAGAGAGGATCTGGAGTCACTCATAATATTTACTCTTGTCTCTCTACTGCCTTCCACCATTTTAGTGGCTCTATTCAGTGCATATAGTTCTGATTGAAAGACTGTGCAGGCGGAGTCCAGACTAAAAGTGGAAAAGGCCGACTCGCGCCCCTCCTCCCACCAGGTCAGGGCAGAACCGACTCCTCCATCAATCTTACTGCCATCCGTATATATATGAGGACCGGTAATTTCGCCGATGAGAGAAGATCCCGAGTCACCACTCTCCAGGAGCTCATAATTTACTGATATTAATTTCGAGGGATGTGGCTGGTCCAGGTAAGGTACATCCCTTTCGAGCTCTTTTCCTGGTGGTAGATAGTCTAGAGAGAATCCTCTTTTGATTCGATATAAACTAGCACTCTCCTGAATTCTTAGGTCAAGTGGGATTGTGCCCGACAAAACCGTTGCTGACGTGAGCGACACTGTGCGATAAGCTCTACAGATCTTTTGCGCGAATCCCCTTTGAAGAGCATTTAGTTGTTTTTTAGTCAACTGCAACTCCGTCGCTGGGGCCCATACATTCGCAGCGTAAAGCACAATTGGCTCAATGACCGCGACGTAGATTGTTCTCGTTATCTCGCCGTTCAAACCCCATGTCACCTTTGCCGCGCGTGCTAGCTGTTTGTAGATGTCTGCAGCTTTCTTGCACGTTGCGGATATGTGGGATTTAAAAGTTAGTTTTCTATCTATGGTGAGGCCCAAGAGCCTTATCTCATCTACGAGGTTAAGCCTGGTACCCGACATGTACAGATCTGGGGGGCTAAAAGCGAGCTTTCTTGTTAGCAGCATCGCATTCGTTTTGCTTGCCCCGAATTTGAGCTTGTTACTAGCCCCCCAGGCCGTTACCAATTCCAAGGCACCATTTACCGACTGCTCCAAGACGCTCACCTTATGGCTCGAGAACAAGAGAACCACGTCGTCCGCGAACGCCTGGCAATAAACCCCCTCACTTGTTAGTCTGTGAAGTAACGAATCAAGAATAAGGTTCCAAAAGGTTGGTCCCCCTACGGATCCCTGGACGCAACCTTTGTTTGTCGCCTTTTCGCTACTAGCTCCGGCATAATTGACCTTGATTTTCCGTTCACTGAGGTAGGAGTCCACCAGGGCGTACAGGTTTCTAGGACACTTCCTTGCGATTAATTGTTGTTTTAGAGAAGGCCACCAGGCGTTATCAAAGGCACCCTCTATGTCTAGCGATACCAATATAACGATTTTCTTGGCGTCGATTTCCGCTTTTACTTGTTCCACCAGATCATAGAGGGCATCCTCTGTTCCACGCTGAGGTAGGAATCCATACTGGTTTTTGTGCAGAGTTGGAAGGGTGTGCCATTGGATTCTTCCTATCATCAATTTCTCTACTATTTTTCCAAATACGGATAGGAGTCCAATTGGTCTGTATGACTTCGGATGAGTGTAGTCCACCTTGCCCGGTTTCCGGAGAACAACAACGTGTGCAGATTTCCATTGTGTTGGGAAGTATGCCCGTTCCAAGCATGTATTTGCTATGGCAAGGAACACCTCCCTTTCGCACTGGATAGCCACTGTGCAGATGTCAGCCGTCAGGCCGTCAGCCCCAGGGGCTTTTTTAGGATTGAGTGCATTAAGCACTAAATCTACCTCGGCCTGGGAAAAGATAGGGTCGTTCTCCGAAAGTTCGGTTATTTCATTAAGACTCCTCCCATCCGTTAGTTTTCGAAGATCAGCATGACCGGGGTCATCTGTATTTTCAGAATCATCAGGGTAAAACGTTGTCGCCAGCATTTCTGCTGACTTAGCCGGACTCAGAGTTAAACCCTCTGCGTTCCTTAAGAGAACATCCTCTTGGTATTTTGTGGTTTTCCTGATGACTCTATATACCCCATCCCACATACTTTCCCTCTTTTGTGTTCTAACTCCTTGTTTGTTCCTCATCTGCTTTTGACGCGTATGCTTCCTTTGCCTGAATGTATTCGTCAATGACGAACTTTTTGCGAGAGGGAGCTGCGTTCCTTATCCTCCTTTTTTTTCGGAGCACATCAGTTTTTAGATCCTCCAGGGTCCCTGTCCACCATGGAGGTTTAGATTTCCCTTTCTTCACCTTTAGTTTGGGAATAGCTTTTTCACATGCCTCTGTGATGGCGGTAATGTAGGCTGTGACCATGGCTTCTAGTTCCCCAGGTGATTGGACACTCTTTATTTTTTGTGGAGTTACCTGTTTCTCCGACAGAAAGGTTTTGAGGTGACATTTAAATTGATTCCATTTGGCCTTTTTGGTGTAGTAGACTCGCGTTGTTGTGGGCTTCGTAATTTCTAATGCCCTTTCCAAGTGCAAGTCAAATGTAATGGCGTTGTGATCGGAAGTTGTAAGGCCTCTGTCGACTGTCCAGTCTTGAACCCTTTCCAGCAAAGATGTACTGCAGGCTGTAACATCCACTATGCTTGTATAAAATCGGTCCTGTCTGAGTGCTTCAAATGTTGGTGTATCTCCTGTATTGAGTATGTGGAGGTCCATTTCGTTAAGGAACGAATTGTAGTCTGCTCCCCTTTGGTTTTCAGAGCTGCTGCCCCACCAAGGGCTCCAGGCATTCACGTCTCCAGCCACGATGAGGTTTTTTGTTCTTAACTTTGGTATGAATTCCTTTAAGCGTACCAGATTGAGATGTATATCCTGATCTCCCTCAAGGTAAACAGATATCACTCCAAGCTGCAAACTACCCGAAGTTACCAGTACGGCTGCCTCGGTTTCCGTTACTAGCTGAGGATCGTGTATAATCCTCAACCGATCCGAAAAAATCATTACAGCCGCTTTTACGGGTTTTCGGCGATTGATTGTGCACTGAATGACTCTTATGCCCGGGTATTGTTTAATTTCTCCGGTATTACCTACATAAGGTTCTTGCACTAGAGCCATCGAAATACCCTTCCTCTCCGCTGCTTGTATTAGTTCTATGGTTGCTAGCCTAGAGCGATGCAGATTTGCTTGGATGATGTGCATTCTGCTACTGCCCAACCCTGAGAGAGTCCCGCCCCGTTGCGCTTGGTCAACTTTAGCAATACGCTATGCGAGATCGTGCTATAGCGTCCCACTTCTGTCTCTCTCTACAGACGTCACTGAAGGCATTGTGTGCGGCGTCGACGCTGACTCCCCGCACCCCCAAGCAATTCCTGCATACTGGCGGCTTATTTAATAGTCGGCTTGGACACTTTTCCCAGGTATGCGGTTCTCCACAGTGACTACAAAGGTGCTCTCTAGCCTGGCATACTATTTTGGTGTGGCCGTACTGCAAGCATTTGTTGCATTGTACCAGAGGAGACTGATCAAACACCGGTCTTCTCTGCAACCCCACGTAAATTTTCCCAGCTTCCAGAAATCGCCTATGAATACTCGGTGACAGCTCCAGCACTGGATGACACTCGTGTTGGTTCCGTGCCTTTTTCCTGTACTTCACCCTTATGGTGCTGTCCTTCATACTGATGTCGCTCAGAAGATGTTTATTTTGAGCTAACACGTGCTCTACTAGTTCTGTATCTGTATGATATGACAGTACATCTGCTATTCGGAGCAGTGGGTTACTAGCTTTGGCTACTTCCACTTTGAGGTCATCCTTTTTCTGGACCTGGCTTTGCACCAGCCTCATATCTTCTCCGGTGCCACAGCTTATGATGACCTTTACTTAGTACTTTACAGCAATAGGTACACATTAAAATTATGTTGTAGTAATCAAATCTGCTCTTGACGAAAACAAATTCCCGGCATATCATAACCTATTGTTTAAATAAACACAAACAAAACGGGCAATGAAGTTGTAATTAGTTCTAAAAACTTCGACAACGCGTTTGTAAAATATAAAATAGGCAGCCTGTTAAAAGTTGTTATACGTTAATTAAAATGTTACAGTTTAGCTCTCAGTTTTTCGTTTCAAAATATCATATCTGATTCATTGAACACATAGATAAAGGTACACTGCCTCATTGTCCGAGTGGTCGCAAGTGCGACTGCCAGGCAAGGGGTCTCGGGTTCGATTCCCGGGTCGGGCACAGTATTACTGGGTTTTTCAAAAAAAATCCCAGTAGTAGCACGGAGTCTGGAAATGTGCCCGGTATATGGCAATAGGCTCACCCCCTGTTACATGGGACTCATAATAACATAAATAGTGACAAGTGGGTGTTACATTGTACAGTGGCATAATGTACACCTCTGCCTACCCCTTCGGGGATAAAAGGCGTAATGTTATGTTATGTTAGATATAGGTACACTTTTACCTTCGTTTTCAGTAAACCTATTTTTCTACAGTCCCATTGTTAGAGGGAAAGCTGTGCAGGATTCTACTGCTCACGATAAAAATTTTGATCTTGAAATAATTTTAAATACTCGAATCTAGGTGCAGGATCGACAAAACTTGACTCTAGGGGACTCAGTCAATAAAACATAAAATTTTATTAAACTGTCAAACACCAAGCGGTCACCGGTCACCGCAACCTATTGTTCTATAATTGTGTCTACAAAACCGGTACTCGACGAGTTAATCCAAATTATCATCACATTTATCATCATCTTAAACCAGTTTCAGTCCACTGCTTGAACATAGGCCCATTTAACTTTACGCTAAAATTATGTAAAATAATTATAAAAATCTAAGTATCGAAATATCCAATTGCAATGTGCTGTAATCACTATATAATGACGTAAGAATCACGTGGGGAAGTGAAAGTAATAGTGACGACACTGAGATCTGAGATTGATGCAATATTACTGTCTGATTCTGTGAGATTTATAGTTGGGTAAAATAATACTATTTCATTGCTTAATCATGATCCTGTTTCAATTTATATGTAGTTATTACAACATAAGACTTTCTTGCTCTTATCCATTGTCTGCCTTGTCTCTTATTATAGTTATTCGACACGTGGTCTCAAACTTTATCTTTCATTTAAGCAATATGTTATAATGTTTCTACGGTTAGCTACCTTCACAATGGTCAATAATTCAATATAACAGAATGAAATTTGAAATTACGCACGGTGATAAGGTTGATGACCTTCTTTCATCTAGATAGATATTATATATCTCTTTTTAAATTAGTGTAAATGATGATTTACATCTATCTGAGATGAGAAATAGCCATTATATTATTTTAATGTTGTTCCCATCAGCTATTTGCATACACCATATCATGCAAAATTATCTACCGCACTATCCATCTTTGCTTCAAACTTTCCCTTCCTGAGGCCCCCTTCGTATCCATCACTCTTTTATTCATATGGTTCACCCTTTCTCATAACATGCTTTTACCATAATAGATGGTTTTCCGTCCGTTTACTTATTAATAGTATTGCTAATAATATCTATACTGAAAAGTTCACTGTTACGTATTTAAAGCATTTCATTTTAATTTCAATTCCACTAGAATGGTTATATAAGTACCTATGATTCGTATAGTTATACCGAATTTAGATAAATAATAGTGCATTTGTCAATTTTTTATCAGGGTATTGATTTGATGAATCATTTAAGCTAGAACGAAGAATAATTACTATTTACTTGACAACAATAATTTCGACCGGACTTGAAACTTCATACGTGATAGATCGTTGATCTTACGAACACATAATCAAACAAAGTAGTCAATGCAATCCATCGAAATTCATTATTATTATTAATATTATGTACCTAACTTAAGATTTGATACTACCTAACAATTGATGGTACGAAACACACACAAGTTTGAAGCAAAGATTTACTTAATACTTAGTCTTAAAGGTCAACATTCTAGACATTTATGTAATAGCTCAAAGTCAGTCTCGTATTGTTTAATATTTAAGTGTATTAACCCGATAACTATGTACTTAATACAATTAGGTACTTACAGGATTATTGCAAAACAATCAATGAATCCAATTTAGTTAGTATAATCTTATTTGTATTACTTTTTCTTTTTTTATAAAAAGCCGTTGCCCCACACTAGGATTGTCTCCTGTGTCGTGGGTACGTTTACAAACATACAAATTCACATACACATGACACCCAGACCCGTAATAATAATCTGTGGATGACACAAAGAGTTGTTCCGAGCGGGAATCTAACCTACGACACGTCGGTAGTGCGGCAGCCAGTTGCCAAGCCACCGCACCAACCCTGCAATCAATCTTTTGTATTACTGCAAATCATATATCTTTCATTAGGTACTACTGTGGCCAAAGCTTATTACAACCTTCTACATAGGCCAATGCAGTTGCGTAATGAATCTTGCAAATCAGACTAGTTGTAGAATATCGTCTCGTCAACTGAAGTAATTAAAATTAATAAATAATATAAATATAACATCACGCCTTTTATCCCCGAAGGGGTAGGTAGAGGTGCACATTATAGCACTGTACCTCTACAATGTAACACCAACTTTTCACTATTTATGTTATGAGTCACATGTAATAGAAGGTGAGCCTATTGCCATATACCGGGCACAATTTCAGACTCCGTGCTACTGAGAATATTTAAAAACCCAGTAATACTTTGCCTGACCCGGGAATCGAACCCGAGATCCATTGCCCGGCAGTCTCACTCACGACCACTCGGTCAACGAGGCAGTCTTAAAATAAATAATAATTGAATGGTCTATAAAAGCTCGAATATTTTCTATTTTAGACCGAGGAAGGAATGAAAGATATTGAAGGGAACTTACATCAAAATGATAGAGAAAGGTTTGCCCAGTGTCCTCCTATTACGAATACTACTCCTTAAAATCCTAAAGATAATTTCTAGCGTTAAAATTTTTCGTAGTAAATCCTCCTTGAGTTCTGTTTCCAAACGTACCGAACGAATCTCAATAGGTACCTACGACCCAATCGAGATAGAATGTGCCTGAGTCACATTATTGGTCGTTTATTGAAATTCGAACCAAACCATTTCCATGGGACATTGTTTTGGGGTTCCCAATGTGTTGTACTCATGAATAAAGGGCCTGCGACTCTGTGAAACAAATGTTTGACTTCGTGTTACATTTCCCGATTTGAATCAGCGATTTTTTCATATTAAAATTTATTAGATTTTGACGTGACAACGTCTTAAATAAGGTTGCGGCTGGGAGTCACTTATGAAAAAGTGTAACGCTCGGTAACGTTACGATGAGTCACCGAACGAGAGAGAGGCCCGCCGAATGCCTTGCGTCTCTCTCCCACTCAACTATGATCGGTCTGCCGCGCGCGCAGCACTAGTTCATTCAATTCCTTGTTCCTATTGTGCAATTTAATTATATTCATATCAATAAATATTCTACCGAGAAAAAGACGTTGTCACGTAAAATCTTCGCCCGTAAAAACGACTTTACATGCAACCATTTTTTTTTTTGATATATTTCTGCCTAAGACTGCATCATTTTTTTTTTGGGGTAGTATACAAAGTTTTCTTGATATTGGGATATTGAGTTTGAAATTAAATACTCTCAAGTACTATAACTTGGCGATATACATTTTGGAGTCCTAAACTAGGATACTTCGCCAATAATTGCACGAACCTTTCACTCGACGCCTTATGAGCAGTTTGTATAAAAACGTATTAAGCTACAAGAAGAAAAATTAATATTTCATTTACTCTTGTAGTAATAATATGTGGTTAATTGTAGTGTGTAACATAGGTAGGTATTTATAAATTGATTAGACGTATTGTATTAAAAAAATGTATGACAAGAGCACGGACCAAGAGTCCGTGGAGAATTATATATATATTTATTTAAAGTTATTATATATATATATATATAATTATATATATATTTAAAGATATATTTATAATGTTACATAATAATTTATTATGTAACATTATAAAAAAAGCTACAAGAAGAGAAGCGTTCCCAAAATATGTACACGTGTCAGTTTTCCAGGAATAAAACCTGTTTCGGGATCCAGAAAATTATGACATTAAAGTCGCTTTTTAAGACTGATTGTAGGTTTATCAAAGTAGGTACTGGTACAATTTTGTTATCACACATGTTTCCGTTTATGTGGGATGTGGGTGTTATGCAAAGTTTTGTAGGCGTTACGTGAGTTTTATTTACGTATTTTCCTTGACTAATTATTGTATACTGATTTAGTAGCTGAAAATAACTGGGTACAACAAGATTGTTGATCTAATGTAAATCGATGTAAGAAATTCTGAGAAATAATAGAGTAACCTATTTAATTTTTGCCGTGTTACGCCATAATGAGTTGTCGCGGGTATAACTAGTGAGTTATTGTTGTTAGGGTGCGTCCACATCTGGCGAAATCTCCGTGAATGCGCAGCGAGCCGCCCGTGTGCTTAAAAAATATTATTTCTACGAACCTTTTATTAGTTGAGCACCAAACCATTGCCGTGAATGCACGCGCGCAGTTCGTGGGCAGCCCGCAAACGGCTTGGGAGCGCATTTACTACCCTTAGCTTTAATTAATTCCTGAGCCGATAAATAGTTACGGGATTATAATTCAGTAACTAATTGTCAGAAATTGACTTATATTTGAATATGGTAGAACTAAACTAAAAAATATTAATTTACTTCCCAACTGTAAATATGAATACCACACAATTATTCATACATACATCCACAGATGTGCTAGAGTATTTAGATTATAAATTGTAATATTTAATGGTTTGTGAATTGTAATGTACTAATGTAATATTTTTATAATATGTGTGACATTCCTGTAAAATTGACATTTATAGAATATTGTGTGTGACATTTATGACATTTTGGGCTAATTTTGTGACATTTTCTCTTCTATAAAATTCATTATTTTAATTTTGAAACTATTATTTTAATTGAAAATTTGTAATTTCCATGAGAGTACCTATAACAAAATTTTGACAAGTCTGTAAAGTATCTACATAATTTTTGCACGCCGATGTTAAAGGCAAAATAAGAGGACGTAAGTTATTACAAAATTACAACTATCTGTACCTTATTTACGCAAATAAATAATTTTTGAATTTGAAATTTGAATTTGAATTTGAATTATCGAAATATTGCATAAAAAACTGAATCATTTATCGTATAAATGAATTTTACGAATTCCTATACAAAATACTTGATGGTTCGGTCATTTACATTCGGTGATAAACATGCAATGAATTGTATTTATTTATAAATAAATATTTGAATATATAAAAGAAAAATTCAATTACATTTTCTATATGTTAGGGATTTTGCCAATAAATAGATTTTTGAAATATTTTTGTTAAATGTTTGAACGTTTTGAACCTTTGATAACGCTTTTGACGAATTATTTCAGTTTGAATTATTATTTTTTGGACATAATAAATAAGTTTGTGAATATAATCAAATATGTCATTCAATTCGAATGAATATTCAATTGTTGTGTTGCTTCTATTGTAATCTTTAATGTCTAGACACCTAGGTTTGTTTTGAAATCTACATTTGCAAGCAAAGAAAAGGAGCTACTAGCATTTATTCTTTGTCATTCTTTGATAAATACTTTCTGATACAACTATATATTTTATTAATGCCTCGTTGCCGAGACAGCCTCGTTGGCCGGGCAAACGGTCTCGGGTTCGATTCTCGGGGCGGGCAAAGTTTTAGGTACTGGATTTTAAAAAAAAAATCTCAGTAGGAGCACGGAGTCTGGAATTGTGCCCGGTATATGGCAATAGGACTATTACATAGGTCTCATAACATAAATATGGCAATAGACTCACCCCCTATTACATAGGTCTCATAAATAGTGAAAAGTGGGTGTCACATTTTACAGTGGTGTTAAGTGCCGTAATGTGCACCTCTGCCTACCGCTTTGAGGCTCAAAGGCGTAATGTTATATATTTTATTAATTGGTAACGTACGTCTTATAAAAAGAAACCTTTAAAATAAAATGAGAACATTTTGTTATAAACTATTTTTTTTTAATTTATTGCCTTCGTTTTTTTGCTACCAAATGCATATTTAAACTTTAATATTTGATAAACATATTATTGATTCCACTATAATTTGCCAGTTTCCCTTTTTAAAGTCAAGGATACACTTATAGGGGACAATTAATGTCCCACGACATTGTATCGGCGGCATGTCAAGTGAAGTCTGCCGACTGCGAGTCTGCTGTCGCCCGACATACTTATTATAAGGCGATAATGGCCCCCGGCCCCCTTATGACGACAGCGACGTTGATGTTGCCAGACATGTCAACCAAAGTCCGCCAACATCGCGCCACTTCACCCAACGTCGCATGCGACACATGTGACGTGGTGCAGAACATTTGTCCTCTAGTGTATGCTTGGATTTATTTTACGTGTGAAACCTTATTCTCAATATTTTCTTACATTTACTTTTTCTTAAAATCTGCAAAAGTTTGTGGCGACACATATTACATGTCAACGGATGACGTCATAAAAATTCTTCATCGCACATGCGAAGTTTATATGCGAATTAACACAGATAGAAAATCCTAGCGGACAATTGCTGGGTAGACAGCCCGCCAGGCACGATTACCTCGCCTGGGCGGAGGATCCTCCTTTTCCGATCTTAGGGAACTATACCTCTGTTCCCTAAAGTTTGTTTCGGAAAGCCACAATATTAATTATAACAGTAATAACTATTACCTGTAGACATAAAAATACTTTACAATAAAACCTTCTCATAAAAATATTTCTCTTTTCAGGAAACATGAGGCAATCCGGTATAATACTGTTAACAGTGCTCGTTGTTCAGGCGTATTCAGTAAGTATAATACTCTTCACAATAATTAAAATACTTCAAGTTATTCCCAATAATACGTGTATTAAAATTGACACGTAATTACATACATATTAAGCATGCATTTATGGTTACGATATTCTTGTGAAATTGGATTTTAATTTGATGCTTGATGATTTTCGTCAATGTATCAGAAATTGTATCTGTTAAATATTAGTACCAGGATGACTGAATTGCTCATCATCAATATTTGATTACACATAATAAATTATACAACAATATATATACAAATTATACAAAAATCCTAATAGTTATAACTCAAAAAAAATATATAATATACAATATGAAACATAAATTACATAATGGTGTGTTTCTGCATGTTCATGTGTGGTTAAGATAGGAGATAAAATTATAGAAAGTTTTTCTTTCAATGCTCTTTGTCAAGTTTTTTAAATTTCGATATAGTTTGAGCTCGCCTCGCTGCAATCGGTAAAGCATTCCACAACCGAGCTGCTTTCACTGTAAAGGATTTGTTAAAAAAGGAAGTGGAATACAAATAAATACTTAATTCCAGACTCTCCGATGATCTCAAAAACTTCGAATATGTACCGACAAGGTAGGTACATAAAACGCTTTTTTATATAAGTAGGGGTAGTGGGATTAAAAAGTATATTGTAAAAAAGTGAAATAATATGAGTTTTCCGGCGAATGCGAATAGGTACCCATTTGAGCTTTTTGCGGAACTCAGTGACGTCATATTTACTACATATATATGGGTCAAATTGAGAACCTCCTTCTTTTTTCAAGTCGGTTCAAACATTCTAACGTAGGTATGTTTTCTTTGTTTCTGTTATAAATTTTAAAAAGTCGGTTATATATGTGTGTCCAAGTTTATACGTAAGTAATTATGCGTAATTTAGACATTCACTTACATTGCATACATAACGACGTCAAGGACTGACAAAGGTCAGTGGTTTAAAATAAATAATTATACCATTCAGTATATATATTACACATACTGTATGGTATAATATTATACAACATAATATATACAACAGTTTTGAAAATACATTATGTGAGTAAATACCGAGAATTCGTAGGTTAATTAAATAAAATTTTGAAGGACGCAAGCATAATAGTACTTTGATATGTAAATTCAAATTTTCTCGCATAATAATTAATGAGAGATTTCTTGAGGCTTGAAAATCCGTTAATTTATTACAACTTTGTCTCTTTACAATGTGTTATGTGTTCGAAAATTTTGTAGGTCGTGGAAAATTTAGTTTATTAAAAGGAAGATGGATGAAGACGGTTTAATGAAGTAGTGAGATGAAACGACGCTGTATTACACTTTAAACAAATACACACCTGGTTTAATTAGTAAGATAGATGTGCTTTTGTGTGTGAATTAAAAATAGTAAATTAATTGGATCACAATAGGCATGGCGACTATTTTTTAATTTTTTGTCCGTCTTTTAGATATTTTAAAAATCTTCGATACGTATTTTTTCTTTTTTCTCGTATCCAAAAAAACATGTAGATATTTTGAGTTAAAATGACGCGTGACGTCACACTTAGGTACGATTTCTCCGTAAGTGTGACGTCAACACCCCCACTCCCTAACTTTAATGCGGAATAACTACGTATTCTTCTGTTAATTTGATAAAACAAAAAATACGTGTCTGATATTTTCGTGCGATCTTAATGACGGACTAATTACTTTTTTGATTTTTTTACCCTGTCGACACGCCTATTATCTATTCTCAGAAGAATGGAACTGGCAAAGATATTAACATTTCTTACTCCCTGGTAAACATGTGTCCTTGTTTACAAAACCTGAATTTATTAGACGTATCGTCATTTACAAATATTCAATAAAAGAAGACACAGAACAAAAATAACCAATAAGTTTTGGTTCAGGTCTTCTTTCACACCCACACACTGATAGAACCTTCTATCTTGCAATCAATACATTCAATCGTACTATAATATTATAAATGCGTGTGAGGATGTATGTGCGTATATGTGTGTGTGTGTTTGTGTGTTTGTTACTCTTTCACGTTAAAACTGCTGAAGGGATCGAGATGAAATTTGAAGCAGAAATAGATTATGGATCTGAAATAATACATAGGCTACTTTTTATCCTACGGGAACGCGGGCAGAAGCAAGTTTTTTTTTATGGCATAAGCTGGTAAACGAGCAGACGGATCACCTGATGGTAAGCAATAAACGGCGCCGCCCATGGACACCTGAAACACCAGATGCGTTACAAGTACGTTACCGGCCTTTTGGGGATTAGGAGTTTAAGGATCGTTGGGAATTCAGGGATTGGGGAGATTGGGGAAAGGAAGGGTAATTAGGCCAAAAAAAGTGTGAAATTATTAAATTAACCTGAAAACAGATGTGTAACAAAAACAATCGTATCCGTAAACAAAACATTGCCCTCATCATAATGTATGATAACCTACATGAAGTTTAACCTACATGCAGGGTTGTCTCCAAAAACGCCTGTTTATTTTGGCTAGTCTGCGTGCCCGAGTTCATATGTTGAATTGAACAATTTATCAATGTCGCATGGACCTCGAGCGCTTTGTGACTTGTGAAATATTATGCGGTCACCCATCCGGTAGCTGGCTTCGTGGACATTTTGGGATATTGTATAATAATAATCATTTTTAAAATTCCATGGTGTGGAAGAAGATGGTGAAATACTGGGTTTTAACATGTAGATATTTTTAGTAATTTACCATCATAATCAATCGTAAGATGTGTAAGTTTCTATCAGGAAGATATCATTGTTGTTGACTGACTATTGAAGTTTTTACAAACAGTAAAGAAACTATAGCAAACACCACTTTCTAATCAACTTTCTTAGTTTTTATTTCATTCTGATTTTATGTAGAAAAGAAATACAAATACAACTTCGTTATGGAAGTAACGGTCTAATGTTAGTTTGTTTTTGGACTGAATAGCTAAAGCCAGTGTTGAAAGGAGAATATTGCTTTTTTCATGTAGGCACAGTGCATGAAATATATGCTGGTAAACTTTTAAGAGCTGGACTGAGCCCAAAAATCCTCTACGACTGTATTCATAACTGAATACAGGGTGGCTACATAGCTTTACGGTCATCCAGAGCGTATCTGGATGACCAACATACCTAATATATTCCAATACAGTAATATATAATGTAGGTAAGTCAGCAATAGGACGATTTTCTATGTATAACTTAATCTAATAATATGTCTTTACATAATCTTAGATTTAGACTTTCACTATTACTATAAACATATTATCACTACCTAGTATAAAACAAAGTCGCTATCCGCCGTCTGTCTGTCCTTATGTATGCTTAGATCTTTAAAACTACGCAACGGATTTTGATGCGGTTTTTTAATAGATGGAGTAATTAGAAGAAGGTTCATATACATGTATGATACATGCATAATATAGTAGAGAATTACTGATGAGATTTCTGATGTGATGTCGTAAATAAGCACGTTTTTGCTCTTATATTGCAAATGCTGGCTGATCCCTACGAGATAGACCAAAATAATGTACTGCAGTATTGTCCACCTTAATTGTTTAATAACAAAAAAGCTGTGAACGTCGTGCAAAAGGACATTCTGTAGTAGGTGTATTCACATAAACGTTGCACCAGTGCGAAGCCGGGGCGGGTCGCTAGTTTTAATATAATTACTTGTAAGGAATAAAACTAAAGTAATCTGTATATAGATATAATCTAAATAATAAATAACTAGGGTTAAAAATAAATAAAAACTAAACTATTTACAACTGAAATGAACATAAGAATAAAGAAAAATAAGATAGGGAAGAAAATACTTATACCTAACTATAAGTAGAGTATTGAAAAATCGACTTAACTCCACCAAGTAATTGAATACAAAATGTTTTGCAGTGCTTATACAATAAATGTTAGAATTTAGATAGCTGCAGGAGGATTAATAAAAATAAACCTTTTTGCTGGATTTAAAAAAAAATATAGCAAGAATTCTAGCCAGTAGTATTTTTTGAAAAATCCTCTGGGGAGTCCAATTGAAATCTATACGTACAAACAAAAAAGGTAGAAACAAGGCAGCCTGATTAGGTGGTTGCCTTTTATACAGTAGTTTCATTATTGTTTGTATTTGTATTGTTATTCTGAACTAAAAATGTTGCTTACTTAGTTTTATTTGCTAAAAAAATACTCTAACAATACTTTGTAAAAATATGAAAGAGAATTAATTTATTATTCTTCTATACCTACCTAAGTATTCATTTTATTTTAGGTAACGTTCATGTTTGTGTATTGTACGATCTTCATTATTTTTGTTACGAGTTCAATGATAAGATATTCAAGTCTTCTATTTCTTCTGCTGATGTTTTTTTTAATAAATCGCTTTGAGGTTTATTTTCTTAGTATAAAATCAAGTGATATGCAACAACGTCACTTCTTCTGACATATTATATGCACATTATATTCTAACCTAACTAATTACTTTGAGAAAAACCAAATATAGAACTAAAGGAACGTCAACAATAATATTTTGTTCCTCTGTGTCTGCTACATCAGAAGCTGTATGCACTATAATTATTCAGATCACGTTTGAACGGGTGCGGTACAGCACAGACCTTTACCGGTAGTAGTGCAAAAGGCCAAATTGATTGATTGAACACCGTCGTCATAGCATCCCGCATTTTGTCCTTATAGAACAGTGTAGATACCGGCAACCTATCCAAGTCTACGAAAGTATGTAATAGATTTTCAACTTTGTCTCAAAAGTATAAGGTTGGATGTCTGTTGACAAAAAATTTTGACTAGAGCAGCTTGATGTGCCGTTTGAATACCTATAATATAAACAGAATAGAAGGTACACACGTACATGTTATGTATTACGATTCTTGTCATACATATAGATTCGGAATGGGTTTGTACGTACGTATTTTAATTACTTGCCTACCACACTTCCTGCATTGTAAGTCTACGTTCAAGTAAGTAGAGGCTTAATAATGGAATTTTATATTAA